TTTGGGTGTAACTCACTAAGCTTTCGGGCTTACAGTTTCAATGTATTGTTTCAGGTACTTCAGGAGATCGTGCTTCCGAACTTGGGATGTTACAATTCTCCCCCACTTAAATTAGGCTTCATCCTCGAAGCCTACTGCAGTATACGCTTCAGAACAAACCCCTTGTACTGCAGACTCCGATTTCTCATTTAACTCAGGTTCTTGCAAACCCTATTACCGCATCTCTCTTCTAACGACTTCTTCTCGCGTGGCATCCTTGCCACTTCTCCAAGCCGACCATTGGCCTTTCAACTCAATAGCACCACGTATCATCCACGTATCACCCGATGACACTATCCCTTCATATCAGGGACGTACCTCCGCGCCCTGCTAGCACTAGCTACCATAATCACCCACTGAACTCTGTTGAGACACTAATTCATCTTCCTTCGCCCAAAGTTGGCGATAACCCTAATAACTCGCAACCCGGAACAAATCCGGTTCCACCCTCTGGTTCTATCCCTTACACGCTGACAGGATACTACATCCCTCAGCTCCCGTAACCCATCAACCAATCATATCGCGTAACCACTCGTACCTGGCCTAATCAGCCTCGGGCTGGAATACCAACACACCAGGTCCAATCAATCATAGGATCCGGTCATCCTCATGATGGAATACCCCAGATTGAAATACCTCCTCATACACAACTCAAGCCTACAACCATACTCGGAACCAAGGACCTTGTCCTTGCGTCACCCTCGAACCCTTCGGTTCGACTCAACGGAGTGCAATCTAAACACACCTCCCTATCACGATCTCTAGGTCCTTGACCTCCGACCGTAATATCCTTATGCAGTCCTCAACACCGGTCCAGACTACTCTCGAGTCTGTTAACCTGCTGTCTCACCTTCCTCTGTCCCAATCTCTAATCGGGAATCCCTCTCCTTCTCCTCTTCCAAGGAGACCGAAAACATGCATGCGCATCATCCAACATTGCCACAACCTCAACGGGCATCCAACCTGTATGTGCTTCCATATATCTGGTACAATTCCAGTGCTTGTTACCAAGCACTTTCGATCCACTATCACATACAGAGTCTTTAGCATTTAAAAACATTGCTATGATAGCAATGATAGCATTTAAATTGTAACATCCCAAAAAAATTGAGCCAAATTAAAACATTTTAATTCATTCAAAAACCATTAACTTCATTCATCTCGTTTTCAAAATAGTTTATTATCAGAGTATCCCCCAGAACCATATCATATAAATCATAAAACATAAGGAGCGGTACGATCACGCCTTGGCCTTGCCACGATCTCCTGCAGTACCTGAAACAATACACTGAAACTGTAAGCCCGAAAGCTTAGTGAGTTACCCCCAAAATACCAACCACACATAAACATACTCATAACATATCACAAATAGAACAACCACGCACATCGGGTCTAATGTGTGACGGGTCCGCCCGCACCGGGCCTTCAATCCACCTGGTCCACCCTCCGAGTCTAGCCATGTACATCGAGTCTACAATGTGACTGGTCCGCCCGCACCGGGCCTTCAATCCACCTGGTCCACTCCCTGAGTCTACAGTATGACTGGTCCGCCCACACCGGGCCTTCAGTCGGCCTGGTCCACTCTCTGAGCCTCGGCACGTCTGGTCCGCCCTCTTGGGGCCTTCAGCCTATCCGGACCGCTCGCTGGGCCTTCGGAATATCCGGTCCGCCCTGGGTATGTTGGCCTACAGCACAAAGCAGGACCCGCCTCAACCCAACACCGTCAAACAACCATGTGCACATAAAACAATTAATCACATAACAAATCCTCAACCAGACAAACAGTCTAACAGATCACATAGCATATCAACATCCTAACCAGGATTCCGACCTAACCGGTCACTAGCATAACATTACCCTATATACCGGGTACAGGCCTTAACAAGGTCACTAACATAACACCATCGTAAATACCAGGATGCAGATCTAGCAAAGCAATAACATAACAACAATACCCAGATTTCCATCCGATAAAGGGCCGGCCTTGGTGCCGTAGACCCTATCGATATAGTGAGGATAACTCACCTGAAATTGCCGACTGAAAGGATAAGATCAGCTGCTCCGACCACCGAAACGAACTCCACCACCGAATACTACCAAAGAACCAATTCCATAAATACCAAAATCACCAAAATACCCTTGGTAGACAAACTGGTCAACTCTTGGTCAAAGTCAAAGTCCTCAGTCAAAGTCAACCTCCCTGACTGACTCTACTCGCCGAGTCGACTCGTCGAGTCGCTATACTCAGAAACTCCCATAACACGACTCTACTCGCCGAGTCACCCCAAGACTCGTCGAGTCCAACGATCTCCGAGTCCCATCCTGCTCAACTCACCGAGTCACCTCCCGACTCATTGTTTCAAGGTTTAACCAGAAAAGATTGGGGTTCTGCGACCAGACTCGTCGAGTCCAAGAACAGACTCGCCGAGTCCAAGACAATCTTCAACAGACTCGCCGAGTTGTTCTTCCACTCGTCGAGTCCATACACATGTTCATACGACTCGTCGAGTACACCCATGTGACTCGCCGAGTCCCTTCAGTTCTCAATCCATACAGAGGCTTTTCGAGCCATGTAGAGTCTCCAATCCATAGATCCACTCTTCTACAGCCTAACCCTCACATAAAGTTGCAAACTTTACGTGAAACCAAGGAGATATAAGTCCAAAACACTCTAGGGCTAGGGTTTATGACAAAGGGGCTTCACCAACAACTCAAAGACTGATGCTTTATGACTTTCTGGACCAACACAAGTCTAGATCTGAAGTAGCAACCTGAGATCTAAGCTTCTAACTCGAAATAGCTCACAAACAAGCTATGGAATTCCACATCAACCACCAAGGATGAACCAAAAAGGAAATCAGCATAAGATTATGGCTTTTTACCTCTGAAATGTGCCCAAACAGATGTAGATCCCAGATCCACACAAGCCCCTTGATGTTAGCCTTTGATTCCTCAAGCTCTTTTCACCAATTTCCTCTTCCAAGCTCCAATCTCCTCAATAATGAAGCCTCACATGAAAATTAGGGTTTCTGGAACTCTCAGGGGGATTAGGAGGCTGGGAGAAGGACATAAAGTCCTTTAAATAGGGTGCAACCCTCGGGATTAGGGTTTTCTTCCTACAACACCAACTCGTTGAGTCCAAGTCTCCGACTCGGCGAGTTGGCCACTTAAACCCTGATAGAATCCCGCTCCGACTCGGCGAGTAGACGGACCTACTCGTCGAGTCCCTTTCCTAAATTTACACTTTGCACCCTCCAACTTCTTGCTTCCGAACTTGGGATGTTACACATTAAACTGTTAGCTCTAGAGATCGAGCAAATCCTAGGGTTAGGTAATATTAATTTGTAACTTTGATTGTGTTAGAGAGCATTATAAATCCATGCTATCTGCTTGATTTATTGTCTTGATCATAGATAAGAAATCATTAGATCATATCAATTCTAGTCCGAATCAATTCAATCAATTGTGTGTTAACTAATTACATGATCATTGTATTAGTCGTTCATAAATTGTTAGCACTAGGAAATCCGATTAAGATAACTAGTCACATTAGAATTCGGTAACCAACTAAATAGTCTATTTCATTGTTAAAAACATCAACCATAGGAGAGAGGCGAGTCGAAGCTAAATGGTAGTACTCTTTTATCTTGATTTAAATCATATTATGTTTTGTTTGATTTAGTTTAAGTAATCGTCGCTAATTTAATTGTTTTAAGTTGATGATATAGGTTTTTGAACTTGAAAAATAAAACCCCCCTTCTTTTATAGTATTTTCCTAGTTTAATTAATAGCATGTATTTTTATTAAAATTATACTCGTTCCCCTAGTGTTCGACAAACCGTACTTGTCATTCATATACTGTCAAACGAGTACGTACACTTGCCTAGTTGTGTAGCACTCTGGTTATGACCAAGTATAATTTTATAAATATAAAACTAATAGTAGTAAAATACACGTCATACCCCTTAACAAATATATTATTAACACAAACAACTATAACTAACAATACAATACACAGAAAACCTAACTAACATCATCATGACACCAAGATAAGAAACAACTATAAATATCTATATGTGCAAACACCAAAGGTATCAAACAACACACCATCTTATACATGCATAACAAATATATTATTAACAAAAACAACATAAGACGCATAATATATTTGTAAACAAAACACCGACCATAATACACAATACAATACACCGAAAACATAAGTAACATCATCATGGCACCTTGATACGAAATAACTACAAATACCATTGCATGCAAACACCAAAGGCATGAAAGAAATCTTATACATACATAACACATAACATGATATTGAGTTAGGCATCGAAGAGTGTTCCCAAAGTTTTTTCTGAGGCTGCCATGTCAGCTATAAATACCCATGATGTGACAATTTTTGCTAACGTGGCAAACATAGTCTATATGCCACGTAGCTATAACCTATTGGTAACCGACCAAAGGCTAAAAGCCTAAAACTTATGATTTTTATGATATTAACCCAAACAATTAGATAACATCTAGGAAAAGATTCAAACACATGCAACACCTCTTTGTTTTTCTAGACTACACATAATTAGATAATTATCACTAAACCAACCATGTCTATTCATGGTTCCCAATATTCATTCATCAAGGACATCCGTATGATACAACGGTTTCAATTATATTACAATTTATCGATTATAGATTATATTCTTGAGACTTACAAAAAATGGGTCAATCTCGATAGTCCTAATGAATAAACTGTAGACAGCTTGCGACAGATTCTCATCCTATTCCTTTGGTTTTGTTATATACAGACACACTATGCCTGCCTAATCTCTTAGGAATGAATGCCTCATTTGCTTTGTGTTTATTGTTCCTGCTTCCCATCGCCATTAATATCTGACCTCACCACACCTCACAAACTCAGCAAATCTTTCAACTTTTCTACAAATTCTCTTATCAAAATGAACCCCGACTCAATCTTCGACGATCAGTTTCCGGCGCCGGAAATAGGGAACTTGGCCGTTGACGAAGAACTCCCTCCATTGGAAGACGTAGACCACACCATCAATAATTACTGCAATCCATTTGATGCGCAAGGATTGTCAGAGCAGGTCCAAGATCTTGATAATCATGATCAAACACCATTTTCCATACCGGATTTCGACATTTCAACCATCGGAATTTCATATTCAAAGTTAAAGTCAAAACTAGCGTATCCGGAGCAGAATTCTCCGGCGTCGCTAGAGCTTCTTAGTTACCGGAGAAAATTTAAAGGTTTACCAGAAGCTTCTACAGACGAAATTGTACTGGATTGTGTCGGAAAACTGTCGACGGTGGAAATCATCGAACTGGCGGCGGAGAAGTTTATAAAGTTTTCAACCCAACGGGGCAATGGGTACACCATGTTCACTCATCCGTATGGGTCGTCGGCGTTCACGAGCTTATCGATTGACGAGACCAGGGAGGTTGAGCTTGTTTTCCAGCTTTTGACCGCCGCCGAGAAAGTTGGCCGGAAGCAGTTTGATATCGCCAGCAAATACATAGCACGGTGTGGGTGGGTGGCGTGCGACAGCGGCTCTCCGGTTGAGCGGCTGGTGTATCACTTATGTGATGCATTACAGAAAAGAATCGGAAAAGAAATTGGTATACCCTTTGCTACGAAACTAGAAAAACAGGTGAGTGATTATGATTGGTCAAAAATGGATCTGTGTGGGTTGGAATGTTGGATTCATCAGTCAACTTCTTTTTTCTTTGAAATTAATAATTAACCAGTAAATTAAATATGAATATACAAATTACAAAGTACAAAAACCAAACCTTTAATAAACTAATAATCAGTCTTCGTTTGAATAAAATCATCTAAACAATTAATTCCATACACCAAGTTTTTGAATATTTTGAATCGATTTTTGTTTTAATATTTCGGTTACTCATGTTACTCGATTATGTGTCTTAAATTATCATATTGAAAAATAATGTATCTTGTAACTTTAAACATTTTGTGACGTCTGTCATTAGTATTTCTTCGTATGTCTTATGTATTTGCTTAAACAAAGTACTTCGGTTAAAAAAGGAAGAATTTTAATTTTTGAGGCCAAACTTATTATATGTAGGGTATAAAAAATGAAAATCCTATGGCATTGGGAACAAATATGACATTCTTGGCCGTTTATCAAGCCCTTCCGTTCAATCAAGTGTTGCATTTCACAGGCATACAAGCGATCCTCGATCAAGTTGGGACATCAAGCAAAGTGCATTTGATCGACATCCACATTAGATGTGGCGTACAATGGACGGCTATGATGCAAGCATTTGCAGAACAAAGTCCACAACCCGAGCTTTTGAAACTAACCGCATTTGCAACAACCTTAGACTTCCAAAAAGTAGAGGAAACTGGAAGAAGATTGAAGAATTTCGCGAAAACTTTAAGTTTGCCTTTCTTGTTCAAAACACTCGTGCTATCAGACATCACCGAAGTGGAAAAACATCAGTTTGAGGTTCAGGATGGTGAAGCAATCGCAGTCTACTGTAATATGATTCTAAGAACTATGATTTCCAGACCCCAAAGGTTGGAAAATATGATGAGAGCTATCAAAACAATCAACCCTGCTATTATTGTTGTCGCCGAGGTCGAAGCCAACCACACTTCAACTTCTTTCGTGAAGCGGTTTACTGAGACATTATTCTTTTATGGTGCTTTTTTTGATTGTATTGACGTGTGTATGAGTCAAGATAATGCTCATAGAGCAGTGATGGAAGGTGTACATTTTGCTGGCGGGATGCAAAACCTAGTGGCGGCTGAGGAGGGTGAGCCGATGAGTAGGAGTGTAAAATTGGATACTTGGAGGTCATTTTTTGCAAGGTTTGGAATGGTGGAGTACGAGCTTAGTGATTCGTGTATATATCAGGCAAAGCTCGTGTTGCAACAATTTCCATGTGTGAGTTCTTGCATGCTTGAGAATAATGACAAGTTTTTGATTGTTGGGTGGAAAGGGACCCCATTGGTTTCCTTGTCAACATGGAAGTTCATTTAGTTTCAACCAACATGTTGTAATGCATTGGACGTCATAAGGACATAACTAGTTTAGGAACATGTACGTCTCATTTGTTATGATGATGTAATAGTTATGATCATATCATAGGACATATATAACAGGTTGTATTGCATTTAATATGTATTGAATATTTGGATTGATACATAAACTAATGTTAATAATACAAATATTGTAATATTTTGTCCCTCAAAAAGGTTAAACTAGATAGAACAATGAATATCTTATGTTTCGTTTGTACAAAAGACACAAATATCATCTTATTCATATGCCAACACCAAAAAAGTAAAAAGTGTAATGAAAATTTTATGCCTTCGTGTACTATATGTTGTGTTAGGCTAAAGGGTGTTAGGCAGGCGTATTTCTTCAATGTCGTCATTATCATCATTAAGATCAACACCAATGTGACCATCCGATGATATTTGTTGTGAGCTCGAATATAAAGATGTTCAACTTCTTTTTGGCGGATTAGCAATGTCTTCATGTGTTGCAAGCTCCTTCCACCTAATGCTTCTTTTCACAACTTCCCACACATGAATGAACTTAAAAGGCTTCAACATGTCATCTTGGAATGTCGCTGTAACGCCCCGATTCTCAAATATCAATTTATGGTGATAAATTCTCATGAATTCAAGGTCTACTCGACGAGTTGGTTGCCTGACTCGTCGAGTAGCAGCGGGTTAGGCCGCACACTTAAGTGACCTACTCGCCGAGTCCAAGAAGGGACTCGACGAGTAGGAGCTGGAGGATGAAACCCTAAATTCCGGGGTTTTACACCCTATTTAAAGGATCATTTTCCCTTTAGCCTCCCTTTGCAGCCTCTAGAGAGTTCAACAAAACCCTAATACGTGTGTGTGTGCTCCAATTATGTGTTTCAAGTCTTGGAAGAAGATTCTTAGAGAAAGGAACTTGAAGATCAAGTAGCTAGCATCAAGGAGCTTGTGTGGACCTGAAATCCACCTCAGATAGCACCATTTGAAGGTATCAAGTCGTTACCTTGACCTTCTTTCCTTCTAGATCTCTTTTGGGTTGAAGATTAGGGATTTTCATCATGTTATGAAGCTGTTCTTGGGTATGAGCTAAGATCCGAAGTTGCAACTTCAGATCTGAACTCTCCTTGGTCTTTAGGTCCATAAAGCTTACAGCTTTAGCAAGTATGAGCCCTTCCTTTTGAGTTAAACTCCATTTCAAGTTTAGATTTGGCATTATGAGTCATTAGAGCCTTGCATGCGCGTAAAGTTTGCAACTTTACGTGATAAACATGCATTGGGAAGCTGGATCTACAATTTGGAGCCTTAGCATGGCTTAAAATCGTCTGTATGAATAAAGGACTGAAGAGAATCAGCGAGTTGAATGAACGAATCGGCGAGTCCGATGAAGGTTGTCGTGGGCTCGGCGAGTCAGTCGAGTGACTCGGCGAGTCGGCGAGGGTTTTCCCAACCTTTGGACACGTATGAACGCGGCGAGTTATAAAGGTAAAACTCGGCGAGTTGGCCAAGGAGTTACGGCCACTGACACTAGGAACTCGACGAGTCACACGAGTGACTCGGCGGGCTGGCAAGTTATGCAAGGAACTCGACGAGTAGCTAAGGGTACTCGACGAGTTAAGGTCAACATGGACTGTTGACCTTAACCAATTGACTTCTGAGGGTATTTTGATAAATTGGATATTTATAGCAAAGGACATTGGTGAATATAGGTGTTGGAGCTGGAGCTACATTTGTAGGAGTTTGACACCACCTTCCGAGCTACTTACGAGGTGAGTTATCCTCACTATATCAACAGGGTCTACGGCACCAAGGCCGGCCCTTTATCAGATGTGTATCCGGGTATTGTATGATATGTTTATTGATCTGTTAGATCTGCGTCCTGGTAGTTAGGACGGTATTATGTTAGTGACCTGGTTTAGGTCGGTATCCTGGTATATAGGATGATGCTATGTTAGTGACCGGTTAGGTCGGTATCCTGGTTATAGGATGTTGCTATGCTACATGATCTGTTAGATCGGTTTGTTTGTCTATAGACTGTTATGTGATTATCTGTTATATGTGCACATGGTTGTTTTGATTGGGGGGTTGGGTTGAGGCGGATCCTGCTTTGTGCTGTAGGCCAACATACCCAGGGCGGACCGGATAGACTGCAGACCCGGGTGGGCACATAGTCAGGCCGAAGGCCCGACGAGCGGTCCGGATAGGCTGAAGGCCCCGAGAGGGCGGTCCAGACGTGCCGAGGCTCGAAGAGTGGGGCAGATAGACTGAAGGCCCGGTGCGGGCGGACCATTTATACTGTAGACTCAGAGAGTGGACCAGGTAGACTGAAGGCCCGGTGCGGGCGGACCAGTCACACTGTAGACTCGATATGCATGTTTGTTTTGTATTTGTTGATATGATATGATTATGGTTATATGAGGTTGGTATTTTGGGGGTAACTCACTAAGCCTTCGAGCTTACATTTATCGATTATTGTTTCAGGTACGGTGGATGACCGCGGGAAGGCGAAGGCGTGACCGTACACTTCCTCATATTTTGATTTGGATTTCTGGAATACTCTGATATGAAACTATTTTGAAAACAGATTTGTAATAACTAATGGTTTGGAATGATTTAAAAAGTTTTAAATTGGCTTGATTTTTATGGGTGTTACAAGTTGGTATCGGAGCCTTGGTTTGAGTGAATTGGAGGAACACTCGTGTGAATCCAGTCTCAAATCAAGGAAAAGATTTTAAAATGATTTTTAAATGGTTTTCAAAATAAGTAAAGGAGGATGCAGTGTGTACGATCAGCCGGAGCCAGTAAGTAGACCCCAAAATACCATACAGTTATTTGATTATGTGATATGTTAGAACAACATGCTAGTACTAGGCTAGGGTTCTTCAGGACTTGCATGATAGAATTGCCTGATTGTATGATGCCTGATAGCCTAGGGTTTTCCTTATATGAAATTGACATCATGACTGTAGTTGCTTAGTGTATGCATCACGGCCTTACGTAATTAAGATCTTATAGCCTGAGAATGTTTGATTTAGCCTTATGTTCTGTTCTTATTGATTAGGGCTTAGGGTAGGATTGGATATTCGAAAGTCTATATGGTCCAGCGTTATGTATGGCTAGCATACACTGGTGCTGCAGGGTTGGTGGAAGTTTCATGGATGGGTGAGTTGTGTGAGGCCGGGAGGCCATTTATGAGATATTTAACATTCCTCTAGGAGTGAGGATTGAGCGTTCGCTATGTTTATGTATATTGTTAGGGTGTTGTGATGATACTTGAGACAAATATGGGTAGGTGTGGAAGGTAGTATGGGCCCGTACTACTGAAAACACAGGACCCATACGCGTAGCAAGGAAGTCACAACCCCTAGGGTTTAGTTAGGAGTTGGTCCCCTTTATTATGCAGATTATTTGATACCTGCTAGGTATGTTTTCAGAATGGTGGTTACGAGACGCCTTGTGACTGGATCCGGGTCAGGATCAGGAGCAGGAGACGGAGACCAGGAGGCGCCGACAACACCCGAGACTATCGGCTAGATGAGGCCAGACGAGATGGATGCCAGGATCCGGGAGATCCTGCATGATGAGGTTGCTGCTATGTTCCGGGCTCAGTTGCCGGAGATGTTTGGGTCTATCAAGACCGCTATGCTGGAGTATTTTGATGATCGCTATGCAACCCTTGCTGAGGCGGCTGTCGTGGCAGCTACTGCAGCTGTAACAGCGGTAGGGATGGGAGTCAGTCGGGCTTTTCAGTATCGGGACTTCATTTTGTATGAGAAGGATTTGTAACGGTTTCTTGTAAAATGATTTTGTATACTTCTAGAAAATCCGATATTTTCTTTGAAAACGAGTTGTAAGTCTTATACCCAAGACATAAAATGTATGTATTTCCTTTCTTTCTTTTTCCTTGTAAAATGATAATGTATGTTTCCGGAAAATCCAATATTTTCTTAAATATGAACTGTAGTCTTAAACCCTAAGACCAAAAATGTAAGTATTGTTGTACTGAAAATAGTATGTAATTTTATCATTTTATATAAAATTACCTGAATGTATGTTTAGCCCGTAAATCAAATGTGTTGTCGATACTCTATGTGAGTTATTATAACCATACTAATACGACTAGTGGCCTGAACGACGTTCTTCAGGCGTCAGAACTGTTACGACATTTGTCACCTCAAACCTGCCGGTCTAACTACAGCTAACGGTTTAGGTGCGGGGTTGTCAATCCCGTATAGATCTATACACAAGTGTCACACTCTCCCTACAAGAGACTCTGGTTATAATTCACGACTTTAGTGGGTACTCTACTGGGTACAATGAAGTAGTGCCTCACAAGTCTATATCAACTGGTTTACGTCTATAGTGCTGAAAATTTGTTATCTTGTAAGCAAAGTAATTATACCTTTAGTAATTATTTGTTTCCTCTGAAATGATAGTGTAGTGTTTGTAACTCCCAAACTATACCAATTATAGTTTATTATGTTTTGTTTGTCAAGAATATTTATATAAACATTTATATAAACACATAGCAAATATTTTGGCTAGTTTCAAAGTGTAAGTCAACATAATGTCTTCAGGTTGTGACCTACAAAATAGTGAAATACTAAAATGTACTCCTTTTTGTTATGAAAGTCATATTATAGTAAAAAGCTTCAAAAACCAAGAAGTTTTTACAATTCTTAAATTTTCTTATGATCTTATAACATAGATTCTGTTTGTTTTGTTAGTTTTACATTTTAAAACTAATATAACACAAATATTTGGATAAAACTAGTGATAACCACATCTTATGCAAACTATATCTTATATTTTAACAGCAAGATAAAACATGCAAATATTTGTATGTTAAACAAATTTTGACTTGTATTCCCCCCCCCCCCCCCCCCCCTAAAAACATGAAAAAGCTTGAAAATGTGGGGGTATGAACTCACCTTGAGTGGTTTTGTGGGTTGTAACCCACCAAAGTGGTAAAAAGGACTACAAAATACCCTT